AAAGAAAGAGGATGAAGAGGGGTATGGGGGAGCAACGTCAAACCACAAGATGCTTCCTCCACAGCAGAGCATGAAAGCAGGTCTTTGGCGAGCAAAAGGTGATTCTTCTTTGAATGGATAGTCAATATATGGGGGAAAAAAAAAACCTTAATGAAAAAAATAAGACAAAAAAAAAAAAAGATCTGAAAAAATCTGATGGGTACAAGCAGACAAGCTTAAAGTGCTCGGGAGCGGCCGCGGCCGTTGCTCCTGTCTTGGGTTTCTCCACGTGACACCGAGACGAGCCGGTCCCTTTGTTCCTTACAGCTCCAGAAAGTCGGATGCAAGCTACAGATTCTCCAGACAACTCAACAGCCGTATGAACGGGACGTCCACGCTGCTCCTGAAGCGGCTCCTCCCGCCCCGCCTCAGCCGGCATCACGGAGAAGAGTTTGGCTCCGTCAAGGTTTCGGCTCCACCAAGGTTTTTGGCTCGAGACGAGCCGGTCCCTTTGTTCCTTACAGCTCCAGAAAGTCGGATGCAAGCTACAGATTCTCCAGACAACTCAACAGCCGTATGAACGGGACGTCCACGCTGCTCCTGAAGCGGCTCCTCCCGCCCCGCCTCAGCCGGCATCACGGAGAAGAGTTTGGCTCCGTCAAGGTTTCGGCTCCACCAAGGTTTTTGGCTCCATCGGGGTTTTGGCTCCACCAAGGTTTCGGCTCCACCAAGGTTTCGGCTCCATCGGGGTTTCCGCTCCATCGGGGTTTTGGTTCCATCAAAGTTCTGGCTCCATCAAAGTTTCGGCTCCACCAAGGTTTCGGCTCCACCAAACCCTCCCGACAAGGAGCCGTGATGAGCTTTCCCTCCCTTGGGACCTTCTGTGTCTGAACTGACCTCATGGATAGAGACCACCGGTCCTTACGACACAGGGGCCGCCCCGTACAGCTGAGGTGCATCCTCCCATGAAGGCTGTGGAGACCCTCTCGCTGAGGGAAGGGCCGTCCCCTGCCTCAGGAGAAGACGTAGAGCTCTAGCGCGCATCGTGCCATTCCTTCATGGACGTGGAGTGGCCCCTTTGCGCCCCCGGGGTCTGCCAACCAGGTCTTCCCGACAGCTCCAAAACTGGGTGATCTCGCCCCAGGCGCCTGCCGCCACCACCCAGGACTTGGGGGACACCTCACCTTGATGGCCATCACCCAGGACTTTGAGGACGTGGTGGCTCCGAAGGCTTGGAGAGCCTGGAGAACCCACCTGGACTTTATTTCTCCCACCCATCCTGGAGGATCTCCGGGTCTTTTTGGTGGAACACCGTAAGGACGTGCCCCACACGTCTTGGGGTTGAGCACCAGCCAAAGAAAAAAACAAACCAACCCCGCTGAGCTCCTCCCTGCCCAATTTTGGGGTGATCTGTGGGGTGCTGCTGCCTGACCCTCACGACCATCAAGCCGGGGAAGGTGTCACCTGCTTTCCCCATCCTTGACGGGAAAGCCGGAGCTCCTCTTCCCACCCCAAAACGGGCTCATGGATGGACCCGTTGGTGACGGATGAGGGATGAGCTCTCACCGAAGCTCTTCCCGCAGCTCGAGCAGGTGAAGGGCTTCTCCCCCGTGTGGGTCCTCCGGTGCCGGTGGAGATGCGAGAGGCGTCCAAAACACTTCCCGCACTGGGGGCACCTGTAGGGCTTCTCCCCGGTGTGGATCCGCTGGTGGGTGATGAGGTTGG